TCCGCAGATATTTTGTGTTAACAACATAAAACCCTGGAAAAATATACTGGAAAGGAAAAAGTAAACAATTAATTGATTATAATAGGTAGGTACTTTAACTGATAGTGTGTTTTAGTCGATGACAAGTTAGACAGTTGTAAATAAATAATAAACATAAGTTCTAAAGGCCGAATGAGACAATACATGGAACGATGCCAAAAAGCAAAAAAACTGATAATCTTTATTAACATTCATAAAAAAATATTGCAAAGAAATCTGATTTATTTTCAAGTTGGCAAAAATAATTAGGATACGTCGATTTGGCTCAGGTGTTTCAGTTGCGTATCTGATATTTTTGTTATTTTAAATAATAATAATAACCTATCTATTCATATTTTATTTTCTCAATATTTCTAATTACTAATAACGTTATAACATATCAAGATTCAACTTTTAATTGGCATTAAATATCCTACACAATTTTGCTAATAAAAGGAAAAAAGGTAGTGGCGCACATGTTTTTTTTTAGAATAATATTCCAGTGATAACCTATATGCACGTCCCTGGTGAATTTGTCGACACTTTTTTAGCATTAAAATATGTAGCACTCATAGTAACTTTCACCCTCCAAATTTCATTCGACTCGCTAAAAACACTTGGAAAAACATTACCATAACTGACAAAAAAGAAAACTTTAACCCCCTGTAGCTACGAAACAAAGCAGCATCGGACCCATGTTGATATGAAAAATAAATCAAAAATATTTTTACGTGAGGAATCTCCCCACGAGAGATGGCACATGTTTTTTGAAATACCCTGTATAAAGTATTACTACTAGCCTATTTCTAGTAATATAAGTTATTTACAATAACAAAGTAATTTCTCATAAAATGATGATATTAAATAACTGAAATACGAGTATTTTACAGCATGATTTTACAAAAAAAAATGTTCCGTGAAATACTCGGAAAGAAAAAATAATACGTGTCAACGAAAAAAAAACACATTCGCGGTAAGCCGGCCCTGGGGTCAGCGAAAAAAAATAGCCGGGGAGCCCGTAGAGCTGACGTCGTCGATTTTTACCCGTTACATCACTGGATTTATTTCAAGGATCCCGAAGCGGTGGATCGTGCCAAAAATAGACTCACAGATAAAATTACAAAAATCAGATGGAGACGAAACAAACAACGCCCGAGATATTAATAAGGAGGAAAAAAAGAATTTTGGACGAGGCCGACATCGAGATCAACACATTCTTGAACGGTTGTACCGTACGAAATGAAATTCCTCGATTTGCTCATTTTTTATCAAATTCCAGCTGCTCTAGCTACGTAGAATCGTTAATAAATTCTAGAAAACAAGTAGGATCAAACGGTGTAAAAGGTAATATCAGACACAGCTACTTTTGATGCGCAATTTTTTTGCAGCCGCTGCAAATGTTGCATACAGTGTTCATACACTAGCAGAAAGTAGCCCAAAAAAGTTGCAGGTCGACACTGCATACTTTTCATATATTCACACCAAAGCGCTACTTTTGGAACATATTTTGGTAGCCGCAGCCTTGGAGGGGCAACATTCAACAGTACACCACCCACAGCTCAAGGTATCGTGTGTGTACCTTTTGGGAGATGGTTGTAGTTATAGTTTAGTAAAATTCCCATTTTGTTTTGTAGGTTTAGTAGAAAATAATTCCCATTTTGTTTTGTAGGTTTTGTCTGCTCCGCAACCAGATTTGGAACTTTTCATTTTTGAACGTTCTTTCGAATATTGTGCACGCAACGTGTGAATGTTCTTTTTTATGTCTTCATCGGGCATATATAATTCAGAAGAAATTTCCGAAATAGCGGCTCGTCTTTTCGTTTGGTTGTAAAACTAGTAACTACTCCAGTAACTAGACTTTTGATCAATATTATTGATCAAAAGCAGCAAAAGCTTTTTCTGGATATTTGTTTGATTTCTTTACATTTATTTTGTTACTTTTGAGTTGTGACTAAAATTTAAAAATATACATTCTATTAAGTTGTCTCATCCTTACGTTTGTTTCAATATGACTCCTATGTGTGTCGCAAAAGTTAAATATTTCGCATTGTTAAATGTTGTTAAATGTTTCTAACATGAAAATTGACTGAATATAAGATTCCAGTATTTTTATTTGAAAGTCTGATTTTTTACCAATAAATATGGCATGTCCCATTTTTCACCACGTAACCCTATCGGCGATTTCATTCTTCATAAAAAAAAGTTTCATAAAATCTGTTAATCGGGTAGATTAGTTTATCATCCCTGAATTTGGATCCAACCGTTGGCAAAAAAAAACAGGAAAGAAAAATGTCAACGAAATGTCAACGCGACCGCGACAGAGTTTTAATATGGCTGACTGTCAGTGGCGTCCTAATTTTATTTTAAATCTGTTAATATATAAAGTTAGGTAATTAATTCTAAACTTTGGTAAGGTAGACTGAATAATGTCAAGAAATGTCATAAATTATTAGAACTGTAAAAAAATGTATTTAATCAAAAAATAAATATGTTAAAGCACTTTCATGTCTTCGTATTTTCATTTTCATTCTTGTCAATTTTTCAACATTCTTTTTTTGTTATTACTAGGCTTATAAAAATTTTATATTTTGAGACAATGTCGAAAAGACAAGTTTTGAAAAAAACAAAATTCTGATTGAATGACTAGAAAGATATACAGTTGCCAAAAAATTGTTTATAGGCTCACTGCTGTAACAAACATCTATTATTTTTTTTAAAGTCAATAATCTGGTTAAATCTATTAGTTAGTTTGGCAAAAAAATAGTAGATCCAAAGAGTAAACAAAAAAGTAAATCTACAGTTAAAAATTATGTTACTTAGAACAAATAATATCTACGTTGTATAAAGGTTTCTATTCCTTCAAAATCGTCCCAATGTTAACACTTCAATATAGACCCCCGAACTTCTTAAAATACATCTTACAAAACCACTGAATATATTATAACTACAATAGGTTTTCAACCCTAAACGAGTTACGCATATCGTCAAACAACATTAATGCATTGAGAAATTCTGATTTACAGGGGTACAAAGAAAGCAAATAGTATTTTATTTCATAAATTACAGTAGTTAAATTGAAGAAAATTAAAAAAAATGTAACTAACACACCACCTCATTAAGTAGTAAGGATTGATTACTAAATCTAATTACTAAATCGAGCTACAAATACATTTTTCCTAAAATCTTAAATATTTTTAGACCTATACAGGGTGAGTCTTAAATAAGTGTAAATATTTTTAAGGGTAGTATATTTAGACCCCAGAAACACACCTATGAGGTTTTTTTTCGCAAAAATAGATTTTTGAAACTTTGGAAATTCTTGAAAAAAAAATTGGATATTTTTTTAATTTTTAGTTAAAAAAAGGTAATATTTTCATAATTTGGCAACATAGGTAGTAGATTAAATTTACAAGAAAGAAATCCCAAAAAAAATCCAGCGGTTCTCAAAATTTAAACCAAAAATAAATTCTTTTTGTAATTTTCAAAGTAAAATATCTCGGTTATTTTGGACTTAAAGGGAAAATATAGTTTTTTATCGAGGTCCACGAGCCCTGAAAATTCAACTCACCCTGTATATTAATCATCTATAATAGCAACAATTTTTGTCAAACTTATAACCCCCTATTAAAATTCACAAATGACTGTAATCGAACTTGAAAAATCAATAATAAAGAAGTATTACTCTAATTTCAACTTAATTAAAAATAAAATTCAATTTTTTGTAAAGTTTTTGTTTGTTTTAAATATAGTTATTTACCCTTGATGAAGGGTGTTATAACCGTAAAACACACTATTAAGTACGCCACTGGAAGCAAATGTCCTTGAAGCTACAATTAAATCCCAGTTTGCCCTTAAATGGATTATCGTTCTTTCTTTTGCTTCAATTCATATCTGTCCCGACGACAATAATTTTCCGAAATTGCAGTTGAACGGCCTTAAGGACCAGCGCAAACCGGCCACATTGGGTTAGGTTAAACCGCAACCAACATAACAATAGAGTCTTTAGTCAAGCCTCCAAGCAATATCACAAAACTATACCTAAGTTTTGCATCATTTTATCTTAATACTGATATTTATAATCATTTTCGAAAAATCAGCACCAACAAGACAATAGAGGCATGACATGATTTTCATTCATGACGTCACAAAAGTAGATCTAATTTTATATTATGAAAATATTGAAAAACAACTTCAATACTAGAGTTGAGAACAATATTTGCTAAACAGTTTTCTTACACAAATAGGTATTAGCCATTAGCCAATATGAATAACACTTTAAGAGAGTTTTTCTAAATTAAAACTTCTAATCAATTTTTATTTGATAATGTTTTTAATTAACAAGTTGACAATAATTGTAAATATTTACAAAAGTAATTTCGGTATATGTACTAATTGTAAAAGTTTACCTACCGGCAAATTTGTTATAAATGATTTTTATTAGGCACATAAAATTTTGACATTTTGATGATAAAGGTATTCATGGACGTATCAGATTCCATTACTGACATAATTTATAATTAAACTTAGTAAGGGAAGACAGTACATTTGAAAACAGTAACTTTGATTGTGGTAAGATGTTATAAATATATAAATGAACGTTCTTTAAATAATTGGATAGATCCCATTCAAATGTACTTTAATAAAAAAAACCACACACATTTCTACTAACCCAAAAAGATGACACAATTTGGATCTGGTTACTTTATACAGTTCTCTTCCTTGTTATTTTTGCAGCCAATTAATACATCCTTGCATATATTACGATAGCAGAATTATAGCTTAGATCTAAAGCGCGACTAGGAGGATATTTAGTTATTATTCTTGAACAATTAGTAATAATTTACTCAATGTAAAACAGAAACTTTAATGGTAAAATTGGGCAAACTAACATAGATTAAAACAATAAGTTGATGTTTAAAAGGATCGTGGGTAAAACGAAATTAGTTCTGTTATGATTCGTATCGATTGCATTCAACCCTTACCTTTTTCTGTTGTTTCTCCCAGGCAGGGTCCAATAAGCCTTCCCTTTCCCACTCCTCCTCCTGTTCCATGTAGCCGTCCACGAAGGGGTCGATGCTGTTATAGCCGTCCGTTTGTATCATGGTTGTTGTGGTAGGTAGTGGCTACGTTACTCCCCGGTTGTCCTATCGTTTGTTTGGTGGTACGTACTGTCCCCGTCCCCCCGGGGTGGATGATAACGCGAAAAATGAGAGCAAAAAAACGAAAAGGGTGTTTGTTTGGTGGTCGTTCGTTCGTCGTCGGCAGATGTAACGCGAGAGATGCTGCGCGCACTAGACGCGAACAGGCTGGTTGCACTGTACGGGGCCCCTCTGCTAGCCCGACACTGGTGAGCCAGGCGACGGCGGCGAAACGGAGGCTCGAGCCACTGATGGTGCAGCGCGACGTTGCCGATACCAACGCGCCTTTGGAAGCAGCAATACAAGAGCCCTTAATCTAAACCATTTCTAAGCCCATTTATTGTAGATCCGTTATGAGCCAAAAGATATTTTTGATTTTTAGAATCTGTCCTGGCCTGTTTGGTAGAGAGAGTACAACAGACTGCAACACTTCTCCTATGCACCCTTCTGCAACCTTGCCCTAGAGACACACTTAAAACATCCTAATTTAGATAAAAGCTAGTGCCAAAGCTAGTACCTTCCACAAATCGCCTATATAACGGGCCTATACCTTATTATATACAGGGTGTTCGGTGTTTCTTAATGACATGCTAACATTTAAGAGGGTTATTCTTGGACCTATTCTAAGAAAAAAACTTCATATGAATGTATGTCCTCTGTCCTAAACATCTTAACTTCTGAGAGATGGTGTTAAATTTTCTAAAAAAATGTTTTTCCATAATAACTCTGATTTTATTATAGATATCTTTATGAAACTTCATACACGTCTTCTATGCATCAAAATACCTTTTTTATGTACAAAGAATTTTATTTATTTCAACCAGTGCCGTCCGTATGGGTTTTACATTGAATATTTTTGGAGAAAAAAGTGGTACACCACTGACTTCTCTTAGAATAAAAATTATTTCCAAAATCTCCATTCATTTCTAAACATTTTTTGTTGATTAATTTTTTTATCCGAAATTTCTCGCCCTGTATCTGAAAAGTTAAGACGTAAAAAAGATATGAACTTTTTTCCTAGAATAGGTCCAAGAATAACCTCCTTAAATATTAACATGTCATTAAAGAACGCCCTGTATATTATAGGTTACTTTATTCGATAGAAAATTACACTCTGAATAGAATGACAAATCATGTCAACGTTTCTAAAATAGCTATTGTTACGATAATATTTCGTTAATTACATCTCGTTTTATATGTTATATTGATATACAGGGTGTTCCAGGCTGAGCGTGCATTAGAAGTTTCTAGAGAACTATAATATCTAGATCGGAGATTTTTTGCATATCGTTGTTTTACAACGAGATCTATCGATTAATAATATTTTCAATATGGCGGCACTTCCGGAAATACCGGAAGTTGACAACAACCTTCATATTTTAAATAGGTGCTCCCATTTTTTATTATGTACTTAAATTCTCTGTAAAATTTTATGAATTATGATATTAAATACTCTATATCTAACATTAACCGTTTTTGAGAAAAAAAGATATTTAAAATTTTTGCACGAAAAAAACTGCCTGTCAAAATTATGTGTATAGCCTAAACGCCAAATTTAGTGATTACCACAGCCACTAAGCTATAAAGAGAAGATATGTGGCTATCTATTTCAAAAATGAAATTGTTCGAATGTCAAATACTAATGACCGCAGCTGTCATGGAATTGAGCGATTAAAAAATTATCATAAATAATTTTTTTTAAATGGAAACCCCCTTTTTTTATTTCACTAGTGAAAAGGCTTTTCAGTTCGTTACTTTTTGACTATTCATGTTCCTATGCTTAACATTAATTGTTTTTAAGTTATTTAAGATTTAGTTTTAAAGCGTATATTTTTCTTGATTTTAAACAGCAGCCTATGACTTTAAACGGCAAGTGATGTAAAACAAATACGCTGTACTTAAACTACCGTTAAACGGTAGCCTACTGAAATGCCGTTAATAGATATGACGTCGTTGATGTGACGCACTTGACGGCTTTTTAAAGCTTGACAATGATTTGCAAAAAATCTCCGATCTAGATATTGTGGTTCTGTAGAAACTTCTAATGCGCGCTCAGCCTGGGACACCCTGTATATTCTACAGAATTAATATTTGAATACGCGTTTATTATGTGTATAGTATCGTAGTAGAGTTGAAATTGATTGGTATTGATGGTATTTTTTTGGCTGCTATAGCAATAGCTGTCCTACTGGTCTCTGTTCTCATTTCTCATGCTTCTTGAAAATATACGACGATCTTCTAAATGTCATTTTCTTAATATTTGTTAATTATAAAGTAACGACGTCACAGTAGAATGACATATTAAAAACAACTAAAACCTCAACGACAACTTTTGGGGTCTATAAGATCGATAGCGAATAGCGAAGAAAGGTCTTTGTACAACGGGCAACAGTCTGTCAGTACTTCTTACAAAAAAAAATAAAAAACGTACGACGATATCGTTATAGACTTTTTGACTTTCAACGCAAAAGTCCAGAATTAGACTCCAAAATATCAGAATATTTAGGTACAAGCATATGTATATAAAAACTTCAAGCTCGGCCGCTTTGGCACAAGCCAGGCTTTGTATCAGGCCGGTTGCAACATCTTTCCAGTTCAGTGGCGTACATTTCAAAAAGTTCGTGTTTTTTTATAATAAATATATTATTAAATTAATATTTGATTATTTTAATGTATGCATATTAGGGATATTAGTAATAACAGGGTTCCGTATGAAATATAGAGGATTCGTCATTATAAGTTCTAAAACCTAAAAATAAAATCTAAAAATATTCTATTTTAGAAATATTCAGGATGACTAATTTTGCAAAAAAGGAATTTTTCAGATATTTATATATCACAAAAAATGCTCCTCCAGTATGGTGAAATACGATAGGTCAAAGCAATCAAAACTGGTATTTTTTAAAAATAAATTAAAGACAGTATGAGTAAAAAACAACAGAGCCGGACTAAAATGAAAAAAAAATCAAATAAGTATTTTTGTAATAGGTTAATATTTTTAATGTTATCACTAATTTAATAATTTATGTTTTACTATTTTTCATGTTATCACTATTACAAATATCAATTATTAATATTTGGAATAAATAGGTTTTAAGTAAAAAATGTTTAAACGAAAATTCCTAATTAATGAGAATACATATAATAATACATATAATAGTATACATTCCCTCATTTATAAACCTTATATAATTTATATAAACTTTGTGCACTATTTTACCACTTACTTAATACAAATAGAAATTGTTAAGATAATAAAAGAAAAAAAAATCTTTAATTATAATAGTAATAACATGAAAAATATTAAAACGTAAATTATTAAATTAGTAATAACCTTGAAAATATTAACCTATTACAAAAATACTTACTGATTCAGATAAGTATAATACTAGGAGTATTACTTTTGCTCTTTACTTTTTATTACTCTCATCAAAGTCATCTATTAATAGAAAACTTAACTTTTCATTTTAAAAATTCTCTAGAAATAGGAAAACAATCTGTTATAAATTCCTTATTTTAGCTCATGGGGATGACCTAAAAAAATACTTAAAAAAATATTTAGATAGGAAAGCATCAAAATAAAATAAACCTTTTTAAACATTTCCTGTAGCTTATTTTGATCAGTTGACAGTTACTAAATTTAAATAACGATTTTCTATTTAAGCTAGATATAAAAAAAAAATTAATTTTTTTTTCTTGACATCCCACGTAAAAGTATTTTAAGTGTCAGTATATTCGGGATAAGCCATGACATGACTACATCGATTTATTCGGTATACTTTTATCTAAAATTATTTTACTAGTACAGTTTTACTTATATTTTACATATACAGATTGTTAACTGGACAGTTACTTATAGGGGAACAGAATGGCAACACTGCATATTGAGAACGCATGCACTTATAGGGTTTTTTGCCGAGTGGGCCGAGGTTGCCATATTTCAACCATAAAGCTCTTGCCACGAGTAATAAACAAAATTAACAACCTGTATGTGTATTTTTGAAGATACAAAACATCCGCTCTATGTTGCGTAGAAAATATATGTTACATATTTCAAATTCTTATTAAGTTTGTATACTCATATAAACTGCTACACTAGTGTAACTGCCTTCCAGCATTATCAGCATAGACAAACTAACAAAAGCGCTTTTGTTAGTTTGTTTATGATTACCAGTAAGGAATCAGCAAACGAAGAAGTCGATCTCAACAGACAGAAACCAGGAACCACGAAGCATACGATGCTTCCTGGTTTCTGTCTCTTATTATTTTTAATTGTACTTTCTGTCGCGCATTATTAGAAATAAGACGAAATTCCTTTTGATTTCAAACCAAATCAAATACCAACTTATTCTTATCGGCTAAAATGTTATTCAATTAATTTTTAGTTTTGCGAAATGATAATTAATTATTCATTTCGTATTCATTCATAATATTTGAGTGTATGATAGTTTTTCCTTGTTTTGTTGAGTATGGTTTAATTGCTTTAATTATATAATATACAATCATTGTTTTTTCCAAGGTTTTTTCAAACATTTACAATAAGATATCTAATACATAAATAATTATAAAATAAGTTCATTATGTATATGATATGTTACTTTCACTTTAAATTTATTTGGGTGCAATTTAAGAATTCTATGGACATAAGTATGTACAGTATGTCCCCGGATTGTGTTTACAAGAGGAAAAACTTTTTTATTATTCACATTTTCAGAAATTATATTACCATAGAAACGCGTTTTGATTTTTAGGATTAGGAAAAAAAAATAACTATATTTTTATGTTTTTTTTTCAATTTTCTCTAAAACAGTATGGAAATTTGGAAAAGTATAAACGTAATTAACCGTTTTAAAACAAGCAAAAATTTTTATCTCAAAATAACAGTAATAAGAAAGTTTTTCCTCTTGTAAATACAACACGGGGACATACTGTATAATTAAAAAGTATATTTTTTAACTTACTTCGCAATTACCAATATTTATTGTGTTTAATGATGTGATTATAGTGCAACAAATCAGGAAAAAAATCTACAGATGACATCCAAACACAATTTGCTTATGAATTGAAATGACAAACAAAACTGCCACTTTCAGGGATCCTGTCGATGAACAGACTATAGTCAATCTCGAGTGCTTTTGATTTTATATTTCTGCAAATAATGTTAATAAAAATATTAAATATATTTTGTATTTATACACCAGATTGTACAGGGTGAGT